ATAATTTCTCTTCGAAGTTTTTGTCCGAATTTCTTCTTCCTCTTTCTTGTTTCATTAAAAGGAAAGACTTTCTCGCGAAGTTGTTCATCGAACAAGCAAATTTCAAACTCGAATCGCGATAGGTTGAGGTACAAAAAGTATTTCTAAAAGTCATCGTTCCATCGTTACACGTTTCGTTCTCGAAAGGGGTTTGATCACTGGTTTCGAGGGCATGATTATATATATATAATCGATTCGTGTGTGGAAAACTGTGATGAAAAGAAGAAGAAAAAAAGAAAAGGAAGGGAGAGAAGAAAAATGATGAAAGATCGAAGCTCATGCAATATGCATAGAATCTACAACACTGGCAAAAGCCAGGTTTATCGTTAATCTCCGGATACCAATTACAATACACGTTATCGGCGTTGTGAGAAGATTTTTTTCTTTAAATTGATCGATGATGAAATTGGTTTTTCGAATTTTGTCGAGAATTTTGTGTAAGATGTACCACCTTTTACGAGTGTATATTTGGATTGAAGAAGGTATAAAATGTTTGAATGAAAAAAGGTAAAAAAATTTGAATAACGATTCCGAAGGCTGAAGTAAATTCGATATGCAAAAATGTTTATAATTTGAGTTTGAGTTATTACACGCCTGTATAATAACACTGGTCGATATATACATATGATTAAATGGCAAGATAGCGAATAATTATTCTCGTAAAAAAGAAAAAAAAAATGTACAGTCCATTGTGATTCATCGAAATAAATTGTATTACATATGAAAATATGAGGAAAAGGAACAAGAAAATAAATAAGTTACACGAATAATAATAATGTACAATATGAATTTAAACAATTTGTCACGTAAAAATTATCCAACGAGGTATTAAAAACACATTATAATTATGCATGCATTTTTGCATTTGTAATTTATGTACATATATTATTTATTATATATACATATATATATATGTATATACAAAAAGAGTTGCTTTATTTACATATTTATTTGCATATTCCTCCTCCAAGTTCGCGTATATGAATTCGTAATTCAATAAATCGCAATTCATTGGAAATTTTACAATGATAAAACTATATTGCTTAAAATCCGCTTACCTAAATATTTTGAAAACCCAATCAATTACTTGTCCCAGAGATAATCTTCGCCAATCGAAATTGTTTCTTACTTCTTATTCTCAAATATAATATTCGCGATACTCGAATAATCATGGAAATCTTGGGAAATCCTTCCGTGAATATGTAAATCTCTTATAGGATAATACAAAAAGAGGAAATTGATGGCAGAAACGTTCTCTTTCCGTTCACGGTAACATTCGATAAACATTCGACACGATTCGATTTTAATACTACGATTTGTAAATCGAGGATATCGATCGATAATGAAAGTTTCATGAGCCGCGCGAATTTGTATCGCGAGATCGTCTCGAACGAGAGAGAAGGTAGGCGGAAGGGGATGAAAGGAGGAGATCGGACCGGATCTCAAAGGATTGCCTTTTACGCAATGTTATTTCGGCTTGTCACGGCCCATTATATTCGTCTCGTTGAATACGCTTCCAGTCGAGGGTCGGAATCGCGCGAGTTATCGATGTATTCAAAGCGAGCGTCTCTCTCTTTTCCCTTTTTTCTTTCTTTTTTTTTCCCCCTATAATGTTTCTCCGCTGCACGGCGACGCGGCGGTCGAGCGAAATGATTTGAAAAGCTGGATGAAAGCTTCAATTAAATTTGCAAGCGATCGCCATTTGCGACGGAACCGCAACGTTTGGCCAACCGTGGCAAACGAATGGCCGAAAGAGAAATGTTATAGAGGAGAGATCCGGCCGCGTAACAATTCCACCGATCCTCCCTGTACGTTCTTTTTATACGGCGAATAATTAATCTGAAATTCCGCTTCTTTGTTGGCCAGAGCAGAGGCTTGTTGTTCGAGTTATCGATATGCAAAGGGATAGGAAGTTTTGTCGGGTTTTCGTATCGAGGATTAAGTTTGTGGTTCGACAATTCGAGGTGTGGTATGATTTATGGTGTTTGTATCTTTTTTAGTTCTATGAAAAATAAAAATTTAAAATCCTTGGAAAATTGTTAAAATTGTTTTCTATAATAATAATAACTTTAATGCCCGTTAATTGTCCCTTTTCAATTGCCTTTCTCGTTCCATTTCGCAATCCAGGCAATTGGAGGCAGATGTAAAATATATTAATTTCCGCGTGCAACGAAACGATTTTTTCAAAAAATTGTATTACATCCGATGTAACAAGTACATAACAATTGGCCATTGGGGAAATTAATGGGTCATACACTTGTCATGAAATTTTAATCATCAAAGTTATTCCACGCCCCGGATATAATACCAGTTGAAATTTTCGCTAGGAATTTCTATAGTGCTGGATCGATCGAGTTTCTTCGTAATTTCCTCGAAACTTGCACAGGAGGCCTCCTAGGTAGTATAATAACCTTAACTTTAAACAGTTATTAACGATCGATGAAACGTTGCAAGAAGAAAATTAAACTTTCCTTCTCGCTTCCACTTTGTCTTGTCAAAAAATTTTTCCCAACAAAGCCTCGCCTCGCCGCACAATTACTTTGCGGATCGTTCATAAATCGGGCAAGTGCATCGATCTCGA